AAGCCAAATTTTCTTTTCTCTGGACAAATAAGATATGGACACCAAATAATACACAAAACAACACGACGTTTAATGATGCAATCAAAAATAAGTAGTTTTATAAGTACAATTATTATTACTCAAGTGGGAAGTCAGTGTGATGTTTGGCGCTGCATTTCATAGGCCAGTTTTTCAAATTTGGGAGTGTAGGATGATGTTGCTCGCAAACAATCGTCAAGATGGGCGTCCGTAAGTCGAGATCTGCCCTTTGATTTTATAATGTTCATGGTTGAACGGCCTTCATTATTCAGTATAACCTCTTTCCGTAACAACACGGGGACCACTGGTGTAGACAGCCTTCCACTAACACTCAAAGTGAAGAACAGTACATATATCAGTACAGTATTTGAAATTCCATGTCAAAGTTTTAATTCCCAGAAAAACTGTATAACTGGAATAAATATAAAGCCCATCCCACCTTCTAGCTAATAGCTTCAGAACATTATACTCAGATTTAAAAATACTCAGGAAAAAGTAAGTACCCAACATTATTTAAAATTTTACAGGGGTTACATCTATTATCTCCAATACTCTTTGATATAATGGTTAGAAACAGGAGTACGTTACCTATATCCTTCTCTTTTATATAAATACAGTAGACACCTGATATCCACAATCACTTGGTTCTTAAAAGCATGATGGACAAAGCAGTACACTCACGCTATAATGAAAATTTCTTCCAAAATCAAAATTAACTTGAGCGTTAACTCATTTTTGAGAAAGAAAATAAAAAAACACAATAAATACTAGCCTTGGGAATCCACTCAGCCTTCACATTATCTCCCTTACCTCGCTGACCAGTAATCCAAATTAAATCCCTGCAAATTTTAATTTCCTGCTTCTCAAATATTTAATTGTGCTAAGCACTGCTAATTTTGCAACATCTTTATATTCTTATCATCTATAATTGTTCTTAAAGCTATAGGTAGTGTTCCACATTCACATCTGAAAGACTGATGTTTGACAGCTTCAAAATCAGCAATAATTTTCTATTTCACTTCCAAAGTGGAAACTACCCTTGGCCTCATAGCTTTCTCATTTGACTTCACAGATGACACTGAGTTTGTTGCAAGAATAAAGTAAATAAGAGACAAGGTCTACAGAGAACTTATCTAAAAACCCCTCCTGATAGACCAATGATAAGTTTGCAATAGGAGGTGCACACATACATATGAGGCTGTGGCAACATGATTACTAATAGAGAAATATGACAACCAACAAATTAAGAAGCTGATAAATATCAAGAACTTAACTGTGATACTCAGCAGAAATTGTGAAGAACATGCAAGAACACCTACCGCAGAAACTTAAATAATCATTATTTTAATACATGGTATTAATTTATTCAGTTTATTATCGTTCGTTCAGTTCAGTATCGTTATTGCTATTGCTATTTCTAGAGTTCTTATTCTATCTATTTGTAGCTTAACCCAGTAGCAGGTCATCACTGCCTCCTTTCGGAGGTTTCATAGTCTTTAAAGCATGCATTTATGAGTAGTGAGTGACCAGCCCACTGACTCTGCACAATTTCTACTGACTCCTGATTTGACTGCCAGAGCCATCTAGCAGTGAAGCAGTGAATCAGGAGAGACTTGGGTGAGAAATGGCCACTGAATTTTGCTTACAAAACATCTTGTATCATGCTCGCAAGGTTCTTTTACATGCCATAAATCTATGACATGGGACCGCCGGCTTTACTTCCCCTCCGAAGGAAGTTGTGCTACAGATTTTTATCACCCTTAAAAATCCATCGACCTCGGCCGGGATTGAACTCGCGAACCTTGGGTCCAGTGGCGAGCACGCTAACCACTAGTCCACCGAGGGCGACAGAGTTCTTATTAACAGTGACAAATTTATGATCAGTCGTGACATTAAAGGTTTTAAAAACACTGGCCCTCAAACAAGGAAAATAAAAGGATCCAATAAATGACAGGATTTCATGCAGTATAAAATTTAGGGCATAACATATTCCCTCTATGTACTTAGTGTTGCTTACCCTCTAATACGCATGACAAAAGCAAGACGTGCTTCTCCTGGAATGTAGTAATTTCCACGATTTCTTGCCTGGCGTGCCAATCGGATTTCATCACGTTCCAGACTGTGATACTCCTTTACATATTTTTCAGCACGTTTGAAGATCTCTTTCCTTTTCTTGTTGTATTCAGCTCGTTTCTAAAAAATATGTGCTAATTCTAAAGTCACATTTACACAACATTCCCTACAAAAATAATACTCAGTAACACCAATTGAGTCACTTCTTTTGGAAAATGTATACCGAGTATAGTAAACAGAGCTTTACAAATGAAATGTGTACAATTACATCTTGAAAGGTCAAATCTGACTTGTTTCTTTTGATCAGGGCATTGTTATTGTTGCCAAGGTATGAAACTATCTGTAGTGGACTGTGCCCACCTTCCACCATCCAGTTGACAAATGAGCGCAGACTGGGCAGACCAAAAGACTGTTACAATAAAACAGTAACCATACCAACCAATTAACATATATCCAAGGGATAACAAAACCTGAGCCTTTGAGGTACAGCAAATATATTGAAAAGGCATTAGTTTCATTAACATTCTAGTTCATGGAATCAACATACAATGCTTTCAACTCCTTTCACATACCTTTTCACTTCTAGTGAGTCAAGGCGGAATAATGACATCAAAAAGTAGATATACATTACCATATTAAACAGTGGGTACCAATACAAGTAAAGCATATTTCCCTTAGCATAGCCCAAGCTATCGAAACCTACAGAAAATTTACATAATGGAAAACTTATCAAAGACACAGCCATTGACATGTAGGACAATCCCTCAGATAATGGGACCAATGGACATTAGTACAGACATTTTAAAATAAATCATGTAACACAGCATGATTCTTTGAAGGTTTACTTGCCTAAACCACATGCCTGCATGTGTCTTTGGTGCTTCTGTAATTGACATGTCATAGATTTTTACAATCCTAAAAACACCTGACTTACATGAACAAAGTTCTGCTGCTTAGGAGGGTAACATTTCTATAACGCGACAATGTGGCACTACTGGGTATTTCATCACAGTTCAGAAATAAAGACCAGATATGTTATATTTACCTCAAAATTATACCTGCACAGCAAAAAATCACGATATTCCAGAAAGTGATCACATATGCTTTGCTATATACTTCTATGGCAAAGAACCCCTGCATTTTTAATCTATGCATTTACACTCTTAGCAAATGATGGTCCCCATTAATATAAACTTTTAAATCAATGCAAAAATGTAATACAAAATGACCTTTTATACTAGCTGTGCCAAGTGCATAACAAAGAAATTTTATAAAATAAACTTTTATTTGTAACTTTACTATGTAATTACTAACCTAATGATAGACTGAGGTCAATGAGTAAAATTTAACTTTTTATTCAAATTACCTTCAGAGCAACATTCAAACGAGCTGCTTTTGCCAAATCTCTTCGCTTGCGGCTTTTCAGCACAGACTCCGGAACGGCTGGCAATTTCTTTCCCACAGCCCTCTTTTTCTCTTTCTTCCCCTTTTTATCATCCTCCTTTTCCTCTTTGGCTGGAGCTTTCTCCTTCTGGACCGGCTTCTCCTTTGGCTGCCTAAAATATTCAGTTTCCTTTTTTCAATATCTACTGCACATAAGACGAATTGTATAATAGGTTAAGACAACCCGCATCCACACAAATAAATGCCAATACATTTTAACATAAACATTGTCAAACGTGCTTTTCGAAAATATGCCACAAAATAACATAGAAAACATCTCAAATACCAAATTAAAATAAACACGGGTAAGAATACAACTTATTGGTTTTAAGCGCCTCTAACTTATGCACTGCTATGAATCACCCGTAAATGAAACCACTTCGAAATAATTTGTTCATTTAAGAACTTAATTTCGTAAAACTTGTTACGAAGCATAAATAAACTATGTAGATGTTTTCAGATAATCTAATAGAACACATGCACTTACGTATCCGCCATCTTTACTGGTGGAAGGAAATATCTTCCGATGTTTCATGGACAACAAGCAACACGAATCGGCAAAGATCACAAACCACAGGCACTCCATAGTTGCTTTCTATTGAGAACCGAGGAAGTAACATGCACAGATAATACTAACATAGATCATCCGAGGACGAACATCATAGACACGAACACACCAGTTAACAGTACTCATTGCTTTTACAATTCTACAAATTCAAAAAAGGTAACAATTATAGCTTAAAGTCCAAGAATAAAATCTGTAATTAAGCAGTTACTTAAATGTGATTTGTAACATCTAGCAGTGTACGAGATATAAATCTGAATCTATTGAAGGGAATTATTAAAACTTTTTATTTTTTGTATTTTCTCTCACCTAATTACAACCCATTTTACTGAAAATTTTGATTATAAAGAAATATTATAGGCTCAGCAATTCCACTCCTCCAAACATTTTTTCTGCCTCCATATAGTTAAATGTTAAGCATCAAATTACCATACTGCTTGATTAACTGTAACACAATCAAGTATCTGCTTCATATTTTAAGTTTTCTTGTGAATGAACATAGAAATAACACTGCAATCAGTTTTTCATATTTTTTTATATTTATAAAATGATGTCAAAAGAAAAACTGTTGAAAATTAACCTGTAAATGGGCACTTTCTTATTCTCAAGTTAAAAAGTGAGAAATTACAACCAACATATTCATTTCACAGTGGTGACATGTGATAGGTTTACATTTAAATAATTGACTCTTACAGGTAGTAGAATAGCCACCAACTATCCAAAAATCATCCTATACCAAAGGACTGATTTTTTATGCCTTTTCTGAACTACTTTCATGTTACGTTTTTTACTTAATATCTTCATTACCCATAGTAATACTAATTTTAATAATTTTGTATTATATCAGTATTTAATTAAAAATGGTTAATATAGTTCATTAGTTCATACAGACTAGTATATCTTAAAAAGGTGCATTCCACTGGAGAGACTGATACATCACTGAATTTCCATCATCTAAAAGACTTGATAGAATGACAGTCTTCCTAACTGATGTCCCTAATCTTCCTAGAGCCACTAAATCTGTTGCTGACAATGCTTCATTTCTGTCTATACAAATCACCAGAAACTGGGCATGAAATTTAACAGGATCTCCTGGAAAAAAGAAACATTTAATGAGTAACTATTGTCACAATAGTTTTTATATTGTATATGTAAAGTGAATGGCACAAATTACACAAATTGATAACTTATAACAGCAAAGAATTAACTCCTAGTTTGCAAGGTGATGTGTAAATGCTTTTACCCAAAGTGCAAACACAACATTTGGGAACTATAATGCTGCCAAAGGACCATCATGCATTCAAAGCCCCTGTTCTAGACTATCTGTTTCATCAATGCTGCAAACCCTTACCATCCTACAACCACCCATTCTTTGCGTGAAGATTCTCATCTGCAGATCCAAAAGGTACTTCAGGGATTCTATTAATCCATTAAAATACAGCCAGCCAGTGGATTGTACATCGAATGTGGATATAATGTCAAGGCAATATATACTAACTAACTGGCTGGCTTACCAAACCCAAAGGTTCATAACTGAACTAACCAAAGCCCTCCACTGGACCCTATCCTGGGCAAACAAAATCCAGTCTCCTTTAATTCCTATCTCCCATAGATCCCGCCTGAGATTATCCTCCCATCTACATCTAGGTCTCCCCAGTGGTCTCTTCCCCTCAGGCTTCCTGACCAATACCCGGTGCACACCTTTTGCCCCATCCATGCACACTACACGCCCCGCCCATCTCATTCTTCTTGACTTAATCACCATGACAACACTGGGGGAGGAGTATAAATTTTTAAGCTCATCACTATGCACTTTTCTCATGCCACATCCTCATCTCTCTTAGGCCCAAATATCCTTATCCTTCTGAACACCCTATTCTCAGACAACTGCAATCTATGTTCCTCCCTGAGGGTGAGAAATCATGTTTCGCACCCATACACAATGATGACATAACTATAATAGAATAATATTTGGGTGCAAAATAGGCATACAAGACTTGACTTCACATAAAGAATAAGATAATCTAGACATAAGAATTGCTATAGTTCATACCAGGATATAAAAGAAAGTCTACCCCAAATTTCTGTCCTGCAGTCAGGTAATAACCATTTTCCCACAGGTTTTTAAAGGTTTTGTAACGGAGATTTTCAGTAGAGGTTGCAGGATATTTCCACTGAACAGGGGTAGCATCTTCTTCACTCAACCATGCACTTGCTTTAAGAAAAAATGCAAATATTAAAGAAGTGTTGAACAATATCAGATTTCATGGTTTAAAAACATCAAATTTTTACTACAAATAAAGATATCACCTGTAAATGTCTGGACAAGTGTACTATTTTCATCAATGGATTTGATCTTGTCCAGTTCCTCCTTAAGAAGAGCATCTCGGTCGATAAGATCTGTGTCTGTTTTGTCATTCTTTGACTGTAAATTCTCTTGCACTGAACTGTCATTTTCAGTATGAGCAAACTTCTTTTTAGAACCAAGACCTAACAGTTTTCGTCGCTTTCCTTCTACAATACGATCAATCATGGAAGAGACCTGGCGTTTACGTTCTTCTCTGAAGCACTCGACCTATGACACATTAAATCAATTTTATAGCACCTTATAATTCAGATGATGAGAAACAAACTAAGAAGAAAATAAAAATGTATATAGAAAATGGTAGCACAAACAGAACTTACCTGTAAAATGTCTTAACAGTGGGCATAAAACAACATGTACTAGCTACGATACTTAAAAAATAAAGTTTTCTGTACTTCAAGCTTCTGAGTTCTTTAAATTCAATACTCAATTTGGGAAAATTCCACGCAAAACTAAATTTCTAGGCAACCTCAAGAACTACAATAAACAGAATTTGGAACAAAACTATAGTCAGATTAAATGTTTTTGGAAATAACTTAATAAAAAACCATAATTCTGTATTAAATATCTGATGTCATATTGAAGTTTTACTGTATCAACACAAAAGTGCAGGACATTTAATTTCTAATTCTTTCAATTCCTCGCCTATCATTATAAAGAAATGCCACTACACTAAGGTGCCTGGATGACAAGTTCAAGTCTGTAAAGGTAAGTATTAACAACTATCTTCCAGTTGCTGATGCACAAATTAATTAATCATACTGCATGTCGTACATGTCAAGGCATGGTTTACTTCATGCAGTTTTCAATCACCAAGTCAGTACAGATTATCTTCCTCTAATTTAGATTGTTAAATAGTTATGAGTATAATAGACCAACGAGATACCGAAAGGGATTCTGAGATCATTACAGGCAATAATTTGCCTAAACTATGAAGACAGCAGAGAAAGAAATTTCTATTTGATCAGTTAATAATACTGAGGTGTTCACATAGTTTTAAGTTAGTGAGCATAATGTGTTTTCCTATTGCCCTGTTAATTTTATATGAACATTACATTATTTCACAACCTACATCCATGTTAATACATATTGTATTGTCACAGCTTTGAGTGCTGCGAGAGAAACATCCTAAAGGTTAATGGGTTTGGAGTAACAGCACCTACAATTTTACTGTCCAGTTTAATTTTACAAACCTGCTGCTCATACATGGTTTTCCTGTACTCCTGAAATTTCTGTCTGACATCATTCCTTGGAGCACACTGAAGAGATGGATAACATACCAAACGAGCAACCTTTTGTTCAAGTAACAGGGTCACTTCTTCAGATAGTAGAACCATAGGCAGTCCCAGAAACACATCCTGACGAGGAAGATGAGCCAAACAACCAATTAATGCACCAACAATGCGGTGTTCTTCACGGAGTTTCTGCCAGTCTGCAAAACCACAAACACATATGGTCGATAAGCATGCAAAATAAGTGAAACAGCAAAATTTTTAAGTATATGTATGGAGAGCACTAGTAACACTCCACACATTCTTCTCAGCAACAGATGGAGATGAATAGTTAATTCATGCACCCACCACACATACATATATCTTTATTACATTCCATGGATCTATAAGTTAGCCATATGACAATAGGGTAAGTCATAATAATACAGTACATATCACAAGTACAATTCACACTATTACAAAGATTCCATATATTACAAACAAAGTGTTCACATAAGTAATGATATATTACAAATACGTCCACCAATTAAATACAGCAGATAAATTATGCTAAACATTTATAATACATGAAGACAAGAAAACCCTAATGAATATTATGACTTATTTGTGAACATTAGAGATTTGATGATAAACTATTCAAAATTTTGAGGCCTGCATAACATGCCCTATTCCAGGAACATGAGAAACTGACAATTAGTCTGTGAAGCCATTTCGTATTCCATGTGTTGATACTGTGTGCAACAGAATTAGTTTGACAATGTTCTTAGTCATTCACAACAAAACTCATTAATGAGAATATGTATTCATATGGAAAAACTAAGACCTCTAATCTCTTGAATTTCTAGGTCTGACACCAGCCATTAATCTTTCAATTTTGTTTTGCAAACTAAATATATTTTTGCTTTTAGATGAATTACCCCCAAAAATTATTCCATACTTCACCATTAAATGAAAATAGGCAAAATAAACTGATTTGAGTATGTCAGTGTTGATGATATGTAACAAGGATTTAATTGTGCAATATGCTCTGCTTAACTAACATATCAGTTTATCAATATGATTTGTCCATTAGGAGGTTATCAATTTACAATCTCAGGAATTTTGTATTTACTGATTCTTGTGCATATCTTCCAGTATAGCCAATACTTAAACCATATTGCAGTGAGTTTCCTTTTATTATAAATATTGTTACATTTGTTTTATCTAAATTTAGGCCTGCTTATTAGCAGAACACCATTTACTCGTATGACAGAGAACTATGTTTAATGTTGCACAGAAATCTTCCCTATAAATTATGACACTTGTGTCATCAGAAAATATTATGGGTTTTTATTGTTGGAAGAAGATCATTTATGTATATTATGAAGTGAAAGAGACTTAGAATTGATCCTTGGGGAACACTGCATTCCAAATGGGGAAAGAACCCCACCAGTACCCATTGCAAAGGATACGGTACGGGACCCGAGCCGGTCTGAATGTGTAAGTAAAAAGAGAAATTTATGCTCCTGAAAGGAATAAAATTCCGGTAGTCAGTCCGTAGCTTAGTCGCTATACTGACAGCTACCCAGGCTGTCTAGTATACCAAATGGTAAAAGAAATAAAAACTCCATTGATTATTCAACATTATACTTACCATCAGCATTCCATATAAGTACGTTCCCATTTATATATGTCAATGTAATCATTTCTGTTCAATGAACACGTAACACTAAAGGAATAATTACCAATTACAGTTCTGCTACGACACAATCCATAACCTTAATTCAATATTCATAACTAGTACGTATTCTGGCGGGGTGAGTTCAGTTATGCTGCAATGTTACATTTCCTGCGGCGACATTTGTAACCGGTGCTGTGGTATTAAGCGGCTTGAATATTATACAGACACGATACAGAATGATTCAATATTTCCTTTCATAATTATGAAAGTATGTTAATAAAATAAATCCGAAACAAAAGTTTTTAATAACAATTGTTTTTAATATTTATAATCATGTTCCCCGATTTCACTGAAACGAGGTTCTTTGAGGTTATGTATTTACACTCGACCGCCGATAAGTCTCATAATCTGCGCATTTCCACTCGCCACAAAACGATTTCAACATCTCTAAACTTCACGTGTTAAATATATTCGTATGTATGTATAATGTTATAGACAAGAGCCTTTGAACAGCACTGCCAAAATAATAATATATGATAGTTAAAAAGTATTAATGTTGCATAACTCGGTGTCAAAGACAATAATCGTATGAAACTTATATTACACTGATTTTATAATTTCTGAAAGATAAATTATTTTACCAAAAAGTTTTTGTACATCAGAATGAGAACCCTCTTATTTTGGTAAAGAATGATTTATGAAGAAACGGTTTAAAAGTTAAAGTGGAAGTAAGGTGAAGTTCATGGGGTGCTCAACACCCCTTTTAAGTTTTTGGGTGGGTGCCATTTAGTTAGTGCCTCTATTGTACAGAACTCTGAAAGACAGTTTAACTCCTTTACTTCAACAAACTTCTTTATTAACCTTTTAGATTGTGATACTCAGTCATTATTCATACGACAGTAGATTCCCAATTATCTGGGAGCAGATTAATCAGGGTCTACCTGGTTTACACAAAATTAAGAATTTAGAAAATCTGTAATACTTATATCCTCAATGAATATTATGTGTGCACATATGAGTGTGTATGATTTTCATTAATATTCATTATTCTTTCAATAACATGTACCTAAATTATTAATATCAAGTACTACTTAAAGTTTAGTTATATGTTTTCTTCAACAGAAAATATGAGAAATGAATGCCAAGTCTATTTCATTACACACCAAAGAATTATAAATTATCTTTAACTGAATGCTGTTAAATATTCACCATTTAAAAACAACCAAAATATTGCAGATCTTGATGGGATCTAAACAATATATTGCATACAAAGTGCTTTATACAATTTGCTTTCTCTGAGAAAAACTGGGAATTTGATTTCAGTATCGTGTAAAGTATGGCAGAATTCAAATACCAAAGAATGTAGCACACACAGAAGAAACAAAAGTGTACACAAAATAAATGGTTTGTGAAAATGCAAAACTGGATTTAAGAGGCTGAAGATGAGATCCATGTTTCAGAATGACTGATGAACTTTGCGTTTCATAATAATATTTAATAACAGTTTTGTGCTCAATGAAGACCATACAGCAAAGAATGAGTGAGTAAGTCAGGATGCTTACAAGTAGAGATGCATAAGGATATCAGAATGGAGATAACCTATTTTAAGGGACTAGTCTGGCATTTTCTTGGACAGACTAAGGCAGCATCACAATTTATGATCCTGCCCTTCTTCTGGCAAGCCCCAGCAATTCATTTGAACACCAAATGCTGCAGGATGCAATCACAAGCTCGTAGCAGTCAGAGTCGGGAACATTATGGCAGAGGAACAGTAAAAGTAAAGTAAAGCAGTCCCGCTACACACCATGTAGGTTGCTTGGGGGGAGAGAAGGTGTAGCTCCTACTCGTTCTTGACTTCGGCACTAAATGGGGGTGTGGTCAGCATCATGCCCTGGCCGCACTTTACCCCCGGGAAGGGCCCTGATACGCAGTGGACAGGGGGCTGGGTGGGCCCCAGAGCCGGTTTGGATGCAGAGGTTAGAGGAAAAATCATTTACCATCGGGGATCAAACCCGTTGTCCAACCTGTAGCTAGTCACTATACTGACAGCTATCCTGTCTCACAGAGGAACAGTATTTGAAAAACTGGCAACATGGGTGACAAACATATGATTGTCAGCTAATGTTCTTTCAAGGCAGACAGTACTAAGCACTGATTCAAGGAATCATCAAATCATGTCTAGTGTAAGAAAACCAATGAAGAATATCAATGAGGCTTCAGGAATAACTACTATCAGTAAAGGTGTCACTGACAGATAAGAGAGACAGTGTTCCTGTTCCTGAGTTTAGTTGTATTGCAGACAGAGACATCATGCTTGACTTTAGAAGTTAGCTGTTAAGTATACAATGTAAATTGTTGCATCACTATGACTAGTGCATTCTTCACTATATTATTCATTTACATTTGGATTAAGTGGTGAAATGTCTGGGGGTGGAGAGATAAAGGGGATTAGTGTCTGTTCACTTGTGTTTGGCCACACTGTTCATCTGGAAAACATTATACCATTAACAGAATCAGAATCAGAAATTATGACAGCCTGACTGTAGGTCTAACACGAGGACAATGCTTAAACACTGTCCCTGAATTAAAAATGGAAGCATATTTTAATTATCATAAAAACATCTCCAGCAGTTACACACAACAGTCATTCAAATTTTTTGATCAAGTCTGTATCAACAGTCCTCACCCTAGCCTGAAGAGCTTGGAGGTGCTCTTCTGTTATTGTTGTCAGTTCAATAACACATGGGATTTCTGATTCTGGCAGGAACTCTATATCTAGAAGGCAGTTCAAATGAATCAGCTGTTGTTGCGCATTTTGTAGAATCTGCAAAAGAAGCCACTTTATAGTCAATGGGATCAAGTGAATGTTAATTACTCATATTGCAATAAATGTTATCTTTTGTCAGGAAAGGTCTTCCAGTGGTCAAAAGACCCATCCTTCAAAATGTAGTAATTTTTGAAGTTTTAAGATTTTCAAGACTTTTTAAAAAACAGACAATGGATAAGTCCACAACAAAGAAAGTAGTAGTACAAAATTATGGTTTGGTTAACCCCATGCTAGTCACCAAGCCATAATGGTGAAGAAACAAATTTAAAAATGTGTAGATATGGGTAGTGAGTTTCATGTTCTGCCCATTGCTGCCCTTTGGAAAAGAAAATCATGTTTTAATGTATTAGAATGATTGAACCCTTTAAAGCTGAAGCTGAATTTAGTCTGTACCTCAAAGATAACACAACTCTTCACCATTACAAAGATCATCTGGTTAACACTGTTAACGAAATAATCCCTGTTTACACTGAGAAACATATGAAACCCATAAAATTTGGTTTTTGAGGCTGGTGGAACAACTGGGCTTACATGGGTTAACTATGAAATTACTTGCAGTATTAAACAGAATATACCTGTAACTTTGAAATATGTTTATGATGTAAATACATACATTTCTCAGCTTTTCTTTGAGTACAGGATTATCTGGAATTTCTTGTTTCATGGCCAGCATCTCAGCTCTACTAAAACTCATAAGTTTCTCCAAAACCTGAAATCAAAACAGCTAATAGAGCAAGCACATTTAACATATGTGAAGCCACAATTCTCCTGCTTTGTGAAGTGGATATTTATCCTACCAAATATACTCAGCATAAGTATGAAGTGTATATATTAATAAAAGTGTAATTTAATTTTGCTTTCTTTTCAATAACCCCTTACATTGCAAAGTCTGTTTCAAATTCTGTCTAGCACCACTTGTAATTATGTATAGTGCAAAGCTTTCATGGCAGCTCTCATTAATAAAATCTTCTTGGGCCATCAGAAGTGTCACATGATTAAAACTTGAGTAGCCCTGAGGATAAGGACAGAGAAGGTCCTCAAAATTTTGGTAAGTTTTAATCATATGACATGGCTGTTGGCCCCAGAAGATTTAATTAATAACCTGTAATTAGTTATTTCCTAAGATATTTCTTTACGAAAATCTAACTTGCAGTAAGGAAAGGATGTTTTTCTGTTTACTATCAAAATTGAAAAGCATGGAGAATATAACAAGACTGCTAGAAGCCATAATGTAAAAGAAATTAAATATCCCAGATTAAAAACCCCCACTTAATGGTACCTGCACCCTGTCATGGTGGTTGGGCTTGAGTACCTCAGTGACCCCAAGAGCTATGCTGGCAGTAGCATAGCTACTGGTAGGGCCTCCCTAGCCAGATTGGTCAAGGAGGAGAGGTCAGACTAAGACCGGTACCCTGGTCCTCCAGGTTGGGGGTTGGTCGCAAGGCTAACAACCTTGCACCGTAAAAAGGAAGATGTTTCGAAATCTCAATCAAAGCCTCGGACGGACGGACCTAACAGAGGACTGAGCTTTGGATCTTACTTACATATGGTAGTACCTTAAAAAGACATACTGTTAGTTTTTACAATACATAAGTGATTCAGTTCCCGCATAACAATGCTAGACATGGTTTTGTCACAACAGATCAGAATGTGATTTGCCATGTGTATGTGTGTGCACAAGCACATGTGTGCATGCACACCATGATGCTTATTATAAGAAATTACTAATACTTACATCTGAAGATAATCTGACATCCAAATTGCTGGAACCATCACACACTTTCACAAGTAAGTGCCATCCATCTTTTCCAAATGTCATTTGAGACAATAACGTCATCACAAATCCCTTCACTGTAAACACAGTTCGACTCTTCACCGGAGTTTTCACCTGACTCAAATACACAAATGGTTTACTATCTGTTAATATTGGTACTGTGCTGGTAACATCGTTTCCATAAACCTTTGGTTGAATTGGCTTCTTGTCTGACTTTGTCTGTAAGTTCTCATTACAATCATGTGTGATATTTAAACCAAGATTTGGAAAAATTTGCTTTGAACATGACAGTTGCGCTGCTCTGTCAGTTTCAGATGAATTGCCGCATCTATGTGATGAACCACCTGAATCAGCAGTTTTGATACTGCTTTTAAGAAATGAAGTTATTTTACTCTGAGTGGTGATGCTATGGGCTTGGGACTTAACAATTTGTGTTGAAACTCTGCTACACTGCCCAGCTGACAGAGCTTTTGTTTGATGCCCAGACCAATGATCTTGCTTCCTAACCAGCCTGGAACTAGTTGACTGATCTCTCTGCAATTTTCTCTCTACTTTGGGCTCATCTAATGCATCCAACGACATCTGTAACAGGATGTCATCATCATCATCATCTTCCAAAAGGTGTATTGTGTTGCTGTTTGCCATCAGTTCTTTCTCTGGAGAGTAGGATGGTGTCTCAAGTTGTGTAGGAACCTTCTGATGATGCAATGATTCAAACTCAATGTTTTCAGAGCTCTCTGCTTGGACATCTCCAAGAAATCCCTGTTCAGTTTCAATATCAGTATTATGCAGAGAGTTCTCCATCTCCTCCTGATATTCACGTTCCAAGACTGACAGCTGGGCATCCATCTCTGCTTCTAGCATCAAATCATCTTCACACAATAACTCCTCTTCTATACTTCTATCAGGATTTCCCTTTGATACCTATAAAATAAAAAGTTCCCATGTATAGATTCTATAATTTGTATAGATGTTTGAGGATGAAAATCAAAGATAATATCATTTTATTTATTGTTGTTTACTTAATGATGGTGTCAGTAGCTTAGACTATATAGCATCTAATGGTAAATTGATTTAACTCTTCCACTGTGCAGCTTGCAATAATGCACATGCACACAAACACACAAAGGAGTAATAACCAGTCAGCCATGGAATTCAACCCAAATTTTTAATGGATTTTGAATAAATTACCATTTTTATCATTCATGTTTTTCACGCTTTTCTTGCCTTGTAAGAAACAATAGTCTAAAGTTATTTAACAGTACAGAAAAAATGGGTCCCTTTTATATAGGCTTTCCACCTTCATGTGACATTCTCTAATAAAAAGTAATATAACTTGTGCATAACACACAAAATTATCTCATTACCAAATAAGCCTCTTTTGTGCAAATTTATTTGGTCCAATAGCTATACTTATTAATCCATTAAGCTAGCAACCTGGGAAACCAACACTGACACTATATTTGCATGTGTCTGTGTTATATTTTATATCACTAATTCATCATCTGTTCAATTGTTAAATTAACTAATTACAAAAATACAACCCCTCTACATAAATGGTCCAGACAAAAACTTTAACAGTGAAATTTCACTGCTAAAGTGCCAAAAAACAAGAACCTCAGCATAACAAGGTCTATACCTGATCCCAGCCTAGTCAAAACAAATTCTCACTTCATCCCAGTCCTTTTGAAACCTTCGGTAGAAATGTTACTGTCTGCCTACTACACTCTAAAAATATACAGACAATTGTTCTGAACACTCACAGACAAACAAACTCTTACTTCATAACTGTCTTCTTTTTTCCGGTTAACAATGTTTCTACATCTTCCGGTACCCTTAATGGGTCCCCAACTTCTTAGTTGGCTTGATCTATGAACAATCGGTAGGACTCCTTGGACGAGGGATCAGCCCGTCGCAAGGCCTCTACCTATACACAGGACAGCACATCACACAAAAACATCCATGGCTTGAGTGGGATTCGAACCCACGGTCCCGGCGACCAAGCGGCCCAAGACCCACGCCTCAGACCGCGCGGCCACTGCAGACCCCCACTTCATAATTGTAACTTTACAAAAATTACAGCTATGAGTAATATGACAAATAAAAGAATATTTTCCTCATAGTTTGTGAAGTTGCTGGCTAATGCACTGTTAGTCACTTGTACAGAAAGAACTTAGGCAGTAACTGTAACATTTAACATTATGTAACAAATACTTCAAATATGACTCTCCCTACCATTATCACTGTGGAGAATAATATAAATTCTATTTCATTTGTTTAAAAAACAAGAACTGTAATATGAAATAATACCAGATGATGGACAAAGTTAGGAAGCAGTAACAGCACTTCCTCTTATGACTTTGTTTACATCGCTTCTCATCTTACCTAGAATACCATATATCAATCACCATATTAAAACAAGGATGAGAGGGAGACCACAGAAACGATGGATAGATGACATGGAGGAGGATGTGAGGACGATGGGAGTGAGGGGATGGAGGGGATGGAGAAGAATTGTGAATGATAGGACAGAATGGAAAAAACTCTTCGAACAAGCTAAGACCCACATAGGGTTATAACGCTACAACAAGAAGAAGAAGAATCGCCATATTAAATTGTAGAGTTTCAGATGAAACAGTGCAGGAGTTCATCCTATCTGAGAAGTCCGAATGTTGGTAACGTAATATCAATGATAGAGAATTAAACAGTATGAATGTGGAGTGGTTTCCAATGCCATGGTGTTCAAAATTCCATTTAGATTTGTCTGTTCAAAAGTTACTTGGCTGGAGGGAAGGGACAAATACAGAGCCACACAGACAATATACACAAAAAACAAAAACAAAACCTGATTAATATTAATCCTGGATGAAGATGGTTTGTGAATTATGTTTTGAACTGGAGCAGAAACCACTTGTGTTCTTAAACTTCCAGTAGGATTTGGCTGAATAGGTGGTGGCTGTACAAAAACATTCCTTGTTGTAGTAGGTTCCTGTGGCCCCACGCTCACATCTGTTTCTACCCTATATGGGTCTGGATTCTGTGGCAAATTCCTGAGAAGCGACAAAGTAGATGTAAGACACTTTTATAAATACCTGATTATACAGTAAGAGGACAATGCCTTGTAAAATTTAGGTTTGACTAAAAGTGAAAAATGTTGATCAAAGAAGGCCATTAATACTACGGATGAATAATAAAGCATATTGAATGCTGCAGCAACAACAGTTAACGAGAACATGTAATAATAAAGGTAAGCATTGAAATGGTACTTAAACTATTTAAGCATACTACCTCAAATTTTGTGTTGACAATTAACAATAGGGTGTTTCTAGACTTTAATTTCATCATTATAATGCAACAAATTAGTTAACTATTACTTACAGTAGTCTTGCCAGAACATTCTCAATGGCATTTGGTACAAGTAAAGAATCAACCTCTCCACCAAGAATTTCCAAATTATGCTGCTCAAGCAGAAGAACTCCTCTTCGACATTCAACTGGGCCAATAACAAGCACCTGTGAATTAAAAATTCAATTTTAATGACTTCATAACATTCTCAACGTTTCACACAAGTAAAGAATCGGTCTATCCACATAATTATAAATGCAATAGGAAGGAATATAGGTGAGGTCACCTAGCACTACATCACAACAAAGTCACTGACTATTTCTAACATACACTGATACTATTTCTAAGCTGATTTTAATTCCAATTTTATAATTTTACTGATTAAGAAAATTCAAATATCCAAATATCAACAATATATATACTACAACCATTTTATTACCTCTACTGGTTTTCACTTTTTTAACTTTATTGCATAATTTAAAATTTTAGCTATATGCAATGCCAACATCTTGGATCCACAGTGTAGGATAAAACCAAGATGAGACTGGAGGATGTTAGATAAAATGCAAGAGTGAGCAGACAGAGATAGTTTGGGACTCCTATGCAAAAGTCAGAAAACACAAGTATGGAAACAACCTAAGAAGAAAGAAGTCATTCCTTGTTACATAAATATGACTGTTACCTTATATCCTGGAAGAATCTGCTCATTAAGTGACATGATTGGCCTGTATTCAATTCCTTTAATACTTTGTATCCCATCACATAATGTTAACTGAAGCATGCGAGTTGGACAAGGCTCCCAAGACTGAGACAATGTTGCACCAACTGTTTCATTTTCACACGTTTGTTTACGAATGTCTTGTAATTGTGCATAAGCAGGTTGCCCCACGTTTTGTACTTGCTCAACCTACATTGAACAAGGAGTAACTGATTAATACAGCATACCAAAGAGAGGGTAAACATAACTTGAATTATCAGATCAAAGGCCAATCTTAAATCTCACAGTGCATCTGGGAGTGACACTAGTGCCAAGTAATGGAAGGCCCCAACATTTTGAGTGATGACTTTGTTTCAGTAATATTTTCATAGAATGTGAAATAACACTTGCGATTAAACGCAATCTGTATTTATCTTTTGGTTTGGTTGCAATAATTTATAAACTATTGTAGTTAGACACATAAAATCTTAATAAAATAACATATTAATTACATTATTCAAAAGAGCTCCACAAATAAACTGGCTCATACACAATTAACTTGCTGCAGAATAATTCAATTATTCCATATCACTGAAGACTCTTATTGGTCTAACTACTACCTCTAAATACAAAAATAATGATAAATAATAATACACAAATTCACAGATTTAAATTTCCATTGTGAAATCAGAAGATATACTTTACTTTGGAAAATAAATATCAATATACTCTCACAATTAGTATTTTATGGCAAATGAAAAGCAGATTGGTTGACAATTTAGTACCTTTGCATTACTTTACATAACAACATTAAAGTAGTTCTGCACACTGAGTTTCTATTAACTAGCAGCTGTACTGTGAAATAAAAGAGATTATATCAAATGCAAATAAAAATCAGACTGACACTGTTGATAAACTCTGTTCATTTTTATTTCTATTGCTTATGCTACTCGACTTGGTACATGAATCAGAAACTAAATCATTAGAAACTAAAGCCTAGAACAACTTTTATGGTCATATTATATTTCCTTTGCATCTTTTGTTTGATATTACCACCTAAATATGTTAGATTATCACTGTATAACAGGCCATTATACTAAAAAATGTATGGATCAATTCTTTAAATGTTTTAGTTCCTCCCATTACCTGTTCATACCCCTTAGGAGAGATATGTGCCACTCTTTAAGAAACAGAAAAATAAAGATAGAAGAACAATCAAAAGAAGACTCTTTACCTGTAAGGCATATTTTCCTGGAAGAATTATCTTCATGATGCTACTAATGTTGTGTGGGAGACAGCCTTGTCCTATTTCCCTAAGATCAGCTAGTTTCCATTGCTGAAGTACAAAGTCCTCCAAGGCTGATACTGTATACTGTGGTAATAAAAATTATAAACAAAAAACAAATAAACAGGGAACAATGAAGCATTGTTCATGAATAAACAGATATTATTAAGAATTCATATAACAAGCACATTATTTGTTCAAAATTTTGTTCTGGGAACTTGGTACATCCATAATGTAATGATGTCTTTGTGAAATGGGTAAATTAAAGTGAACCAAGATCATATTACGTGGCAAAATGGTGCAAGATTTTATAAGCACAGAAAGCACTTTTTAACATGGCATATGAGGAAATGTGAGGAGCTTACCTTCATTTTCCCAGCATGTGCTCACACACAAACAACTTTCTTTTAATATTTTTTGAACGAATAAAAACGGAAGCTGTTACTTAACAATGTGATTGCTTATTCCCAAAACGTCCACACTATTTTACTAAGAACAACATATCACTTTCAGTAATAGCAGAAAGCATTACTTTATACGAATCTTTGTTTGCAACCACTTAATTCTGAAAATAGTTGAATCAAATTTTAGACTTACCCCTTGACTTTGATGTTCTGAAATAAAAAACTCCACACAGCCTTCAACCCATTCAGGAGATGCATGCAAAGATGTACTAGTCAGATACTTTTTAATACCAGCTACTATATAAGCAACCATATTTGAATTCCTGTCAAGTACAATGAAAACAATAAACACCCGCCATCACCAACATAATAGAACTAAATATCCCCTGCTGCACTTAATTATTAAGTGCATAAGACATTTAAATTCACAGTTCTGATATCATATGTAGTTTCCATCCACAAGCAAGAAATCACTTCCACGCTTATAAAACTAGTCGCGTGATGACAGCACATACCTCGTGTAGCCTAATAGAAGTTTACCGAAACTTTACTTCGACTTGACGATTTATACAATTCATTCAATGACAATTTTAGTGCATCAGACAATACACGGTAGACTGAAAGGATGATACTGAATAATGAATTGGGATGGAAGCTGTCACACCCTAACATAAGGTACTATCTTGCCATTTTCTTGGAGGCGCTGAGAAGAATCACGAAAAAACTGTCAGGTAAGCCGGTTTCCGGGCCGAGATTTGAAACAGGGACCTCCCGAATATGAAACAAGAGTGCTAACCACTCGTTCGGTGCCCTAATGATGGAGGCTGAAACGTCAATAAACGTCTACCAAACTACACGGCGCAACAACCCAGAACAGCCATTGCCGCCTTGAGAACCCAAAATCTCACTCAGCACGTTTACTTGAATGCCCACTTTTACAATAATTTGATGCAATTTGACATCTCAGCTTAATGTTTGGAAATTATGTATTTCTCGAGAGCTTCTTGAAGCCCCATTTCTATGATCTCTCAATTAAAGGTTATTTTCATTTACCAAATCTAGTAAGCCTGTAATGGGGCTGCAAAATAAATGTTATTACAAGACCCAGATCTCATATTTTTAATTTCTAATCACATGACACTCAAGTGAATAAATCATATTATAGAAGCAATGACTTAGCATTGAAACTTACCTTGGATGAACTTGATTTAATCCATACCACCCTTTTATAAAGATCAATTAATATCATGCCCCATCTATGATTAGTATTTCCATTTGGTCTCGTCACCATGTTCCCTGAGTAAGATTCTGCATTTGTTTTTCTCACTGATATATATGCCCAAACTCCAGTTTTCTGCTTATTTTAAAATATTATTATATTATTTTTCAGTTAAAGATGTAATGTTGCACAAGGATCAAAAAATAAAATGAATTTATTTTAATTGGAAAGTAAACATGACCACATGATTTTCATTGCTAATATTAATGTTACCCTCTAAGAATTAATATTTGATGGTCATATGAAAAATTAAATATTTAGAGCTAAGAGTGTATGTTGGGTATTGCATATTGAGCTTTAAGATGATTGTTCTTTTAGTACTGTAGTACCATTGAAAACCAGATGTTACAATATATTAACACATACAGATGAGAGAAAATAAGCATGCAATGTAATGGAGCTCCTCAGGCCTATATTTTTAATATTTACCAAATCAAGATGCTCAGTAATAAATGTATATAAAACAGATAAATAAACTGTATTTTTTGTTATATCCCTACAGAGATCTCATGGTACATTTAGTCCCTAAGGCATTGCATTTGGTAGTCGATGTTCTTCTTTTTTCAAATACTAATTTTTTGTGTCCGAAGTCTCATTTACCTATTGTTTTATAAATATAACTTGTCGTGGACATCTATATAGGGACATTCTTGACACACATTGCCTCCAGTTATTATTGTTGCCAATGCAGCCTGTAGGAGCATCAACATCTTTAACAAAGATCGTGTTTTGCTTACTGATGTCAGTCAGCTTTTTAAACAATAATCATTGTTTTTTATTGTTTATTTAGTATAACATTTTATTTTGTATGTTGTTTGTCCAAAATTAAACTGTTTTTAGTTTAATTGTTATTTTACTTATCTATAACATTTAGTTTTTTACTTAGTTATTTTGCAATAAATCAATATTGTACATTTATGTTTTCAGTTCTTTGTTTGTTTGCTTTTGTATTGTAATGTCTGTATTGTTGTTAGTGCTTGGCTGTTATTGGCCTTTTTGGCTGTTGTCAAGCACTTTAATAAATGAATTGAATTGAATTGAATTAATGTCTTCTTTTACATTCTCTTCTCCCATCTATATTTGAATAACCTCTCTTCTGATTTCAACTTTCAGTGTCATTCCATACAAGTTAATTATCTTATAATATTTAAACAAGCAGATTGGTGAAATGTAAAGTATTCCTGCAGACTGCTTTCAAAAGTTATGGAAAACATTTATCTGAGCATATTCTTATTGGAAACTTTTTATGTGTATTGGAGACAATTTGGTTCACATAAGTTGTGGCCTTCTTGGTTGTAATAGTCTTGTAGGTGGTCATCAAAAATTCTAAAGGAGCATAATGCCTTCTTCTTCAAGGTACAAGTAATGTGCTGGATATGAAGGTGACAACAGTCTCCCAAAATACTGGTAACCACCTACTTGGTGTCGCAACTCAGAAAACCGCAATTCACATTTTCACAGCAGTGGAATTTGAATGTAAATATAATAACATACTTGAAAAGTTCATACTGTTAGGCAAAACTGTGCAAAATGCAGTGAATCGATACGATGTAAAGTTGTTTTCAGACCCAGATTTGTAATGGAATCCATTCTTTTTTACCGCGTGTTATCCAGTTTCCCCACCAGGACCTACTACTATATTAACCATTTAAATACTAAAAACTAAAAACCACAATTAGAAAGTATTTGTGTACTTACAGTTAGTTAGGCCAGCATATCTTGTGCAGGCTTGTAAAGGTGACACAATATGAAGGTGCGTGGCAGCCACAAAAAAATGTTACTCTCCCGTTGCCTAAATCTATGACGACGTATTGGGCTGGTATAGTGTACAGCAGTGGTCCCCAACCTTTTTGTGTCTACGGACACATTTGAGAGTTTATGAGATCGTGGCGGGCACCAACCAATTAACAAAGCCAAGTTTTCTTTTCTCTGGACAAATAAGATATGGACACCAAATAATACACAAAATAACACGACGTTTAATGATACAAGAAACCATGCAATCAAAAATACATAGTTTTGTAGGTACAATTATTATTACTCAAGTGGGATGTTTGGCACTGCATTTCATCGGCCAGTTTTTCAAATTTGGGAGTGTAGGATGATGTTTCTGCTCGCAAATGATCGTCAATATGGGCGTCAGTAAGTCGAGATCTGCGCTTTGATTTTATAATGTTCATGGATGAACGGCCTTCATTATTCAGTATAACCTCTTTCCGTAACAACGCGGGCACCCAAAAAAAGCCTTGGCGGGCACCATGGCGTTGGGGACAACTGGTGTACAGAGTAAGAAAACAATGAGAAGCAGTTCAACAAAATTAACTTTGATTATTTTAACACATTACCTTAAATAATATTGTCTCTGTTCAATGAAATCACTAAAAAAAATTAACACAAATTTATACAAACATACAAAATGTTAAATACACATTATGCAGTAATGTGAAATTTCATACTATTGTAAATTCATTACTGTGAATATGTGCATGAATCTGTATACAAACTAATATGGCTAAATTGCTATTGCAAAATGAGCAGTAAGTTTTAAAACTCCACCATAAAATATAAGATGACGACGATGATGATAAACATTAGTTTTCACTAAATATGGGATTGAGTAATATAATTTATGCTGGGTGTTCTGTAGTGCATTGCATAATATAAAATCATTCACATGCTTTGTAGAATACCTTGGACACTTGTTATTTGGAAGTCTCAGACATTTGTATTCACAGCAAATCCCAATTTAAGGATTTTCTAGAAGACAAATTTTAACATTAAACAGGAATAATCCTGCTGTAGCACGCAATCAATATACTTCTACACAGTCAACAATAAAGCCATGTTCTCTGCATTAACATATTTAAAACCATAAATTGCATCATACACCATATAATTGTTATTCATCTAACATATACATATACTGTTCATTTGCCTTTAAAGAGGGAAATGCTTCAATGTTTTCAGGTTAATTTATAACTGTCTGATGACAGTTCATGCTCCTGATAGTGAATATATGTGCATAAATTGTATACATGTAATCACCTCTACACACTACAGAGCACATACCAAAGGGCATTCATTAGATCTTAATATATGTACAATTATTCCACTTGTAAACATAAATTAATGTTTAATAAGCTCGGTACTTATTGTGTTAAACGTTACTTTCACACACTCTTAATGTCCATGAATACATAGTCTTGTATGAATTTGGGACTGCATCTAAGAAACATGTCCCACTTCAGTCACTCGTCAACAAAACAAAACTGAAAATAAGTGAAAAGTAAAAACATTTTAGAGGTCCTCAGCATAACAATACCACTATAAATGAATATTCAAAATAGCATAATGGGCAAAAATTTAAGTCTCTTCAAGTCACACTTCCATTTCTGAACATCTTGCTTAACGCTGAAATCTGACTGAGTTTGCAGAGTTCAATGTTATAAAAGCAGACAAAGCTCAACTTCGAGAGTATCAGCACACTGATTTATCTACAGATATGCGCTTCAAACCCGAGACACATGAAGCGATCCAGTACCAAAAGTGTTCCTGGAGATGTTCAATGAATGTAACCGAGGTTTGCGAGGCGCTGTGAAGAGTTTACTCCAGGCACGGCACGTCTTTCCCGACCACACCCACATCCCAGAAGTCACTCCGACAACGAGGGACAAGAAGAGCCGAAGGAGTGCCACCTCTACACCGGCAGCCTGGTATGATGGCCCAGGCGTGCAGCTTGGCTCAATACGACAGTCGAGGGCCGCAAGCAGTGCCAGGCTGCGCCAGCGTGGTCTGTGCCATGCTTCATACAGAACACAGGCTAAGGAGCCCATTACAGGGAGCACATATAAAGCTGCAAATACTCCTAAGCGTGTTATGAGTCTTTCAAGCTTGGAAGTACTTTGGCCTGCACTCTTCATGGCTTGACGCACTTGAATCAAAGCTGCTCCGCCTAATGCTGCAAGAACACATCCTACAAGAAGCAACACTGCATGTGGTACAACCAAAAATGGTACAGCTGCGCCTTCAGACACCTGGCACAATCCTGTTAGTTCATCTCCTGTCACATGATGTAAGGCAAGTGCCACCACACCCAACACAGCTGGGCCAGCCCATGCTGCTATATGAAAGTATGTGGATAATCTATGTAGGGCCTCACATGACCATCTCTTTGCAGCTGACAGAAACCACGAAGTTGCAAGCACCACCCACCACACACTGGATGCCATTCCAAAGTAGTAGAGCGCTAGGAAGGTGAGAGTACATGGACCGCTCTCCAGACCGTCGACAGCAACGTAAGGCACTCCACCATCTGAAGGAGACACGCAGCTGAAGGCAGTAGGCCCTAATAATCCACGTAAAATGTAAGCGAGGGCCAGCAGATTGTAACATACGGCAAGAAAGATCACTGGTCGTTCAGGGTAGCGGAATCTGGCTGGCTCGACCCAGAAGGTAAGAAGTGTGAAGAGAGTGGAAAGGAAGCACAGCCATGCCCATCCAATCATCCATGTCTCAGCAAACTTCTTATCCTCAGATCTGTAATATGCATCTCGACCACAGCGAGGACTGCAGGTAATGGCTCTTGGCTCGCGAGCGCGAGCAAAGTTGGGTGGACATTGTTGTGTGTGTACTGGAGCAGGATTTACTGCCCAGGTCACTCCACCACTCTCGCTATTTGCGTGGATTGGCTCTTCACTGGCATTTGGAAACTGCATGCAGAGTCCCTTTTGTTCCAGTACAGGGAACCGGGAACAGTTGAGCATGGAAGGCCATGGGAAATTGAAGGTTTCCATTACAGGTTGACAATCAGCTTGTACTTCTTCACACAGTCCTCTACATGCTGGAATGGGCCCACTCACGTGTTCAGTACACAATGGTGCAAATACAGAGCACAGGAAGAAGCGCAGGTATCGAGAACAATTGTAGTGCACCAAGGGTATGAACGCCAACAACTGCAAAAACAAAATATTTGTTAATATTATTATGCAGTTTCCTACAAAGACATTTAAACATGTACCATAAGTAAAAATCTAATTTCTAATTACAGTAGGTTTTGAAAATGCTTAATGGCAATTACACAGAAGTTTTTGCTGAGAGTGTACATGCAGTTATTTTGATTATGAGACTCTTTTTTTAAGATTTCTCTTCAGATGAAAATTGGTACATTAGTAGCAGTTGGAAGCTCATTTGCAATGTATGATTTCATGTAAAAGGAGATACGTATAACAAAATTGGAACTCATTTTCCTGGAAGATTTAATCAAAGGTTAAACATTATTAAACCAAAATCCACAGTTGTAAACAATCCTGAACCAATTCTGACTCCCACTCTCAAATCTATTTTTCAAGGCCTGCCTTTATGTTATTCCCATCTCCTTCTCGGTCATCCAAGTGTGTTTTTGAACAGGTTTGACCATCAAAATTCTGCAAGCAGTTCTTGTCTCTCCTCATTTCTAGTCACATTCCAGACCATTGTAGCCTCGTATATTTCACTCCCTTAACAATCCTGGGTAACTATATTGTCCACTAAGTTCCTTATTATGTTGCTGAAGCTTGAAGTAGTAAATAATTTCCCCCAGAGAGCTGTGTAATCACGAGCAGAACGTGTGTTTATTCTGGAACATTACCTCGGATTGATATCTTTTGCTGCTCATCGTATTCTGACAATAAATTACCGAATAACACAGTACGCCGACTGGTAACAAACACTTCGCAAAGTCGCACGAAACACACGAAATAAAAAGGATGCATGCTTGCCTTCGAGAATACGGGGGGGGGAGCATTTTCATCATCTGCTGTAAAGTTGCTGAAGTAAAAAACAACAACTCATTTCTCTTGTTACATTGATGTCACCAAAGCTTTGCTCAAAACTGTTGTAGTAAGGGTTGCGTTTTGCATTGGAACATTATGTGTTCTAAGAGTTTTACAAAACAAAGACATATTTGTGTCGATCACTGTGACCGCAAACAATACGCCCGGTACACTGAAAGAAGTGAAGGGCATATGGAAAGGGCAAAGAGTGCCTAATGTAATCGAGAACATACTTTTCCTCTTTTAATTTCGATACAGTCTGTGGCGCATTCATACACTGACTTTCATGGGAACTACAAAATACAAGCAATGCCCGTACATGTCTTAACCCGCTGCGCGCTACTTCTACAGCTGAAACGTAATAATTTTAATCCTTTAGTAAAAGGACTGTCTCGTGAGGAGTTGTTGGTACAAAGCGTGGCTCTATATGGAGCAGAAATATGGCAACTCTCGGAACAACAAAAAAATAAGTTGAGAATAATGGAAATGGATTTCCTAAGAAGAGCGGCTGGAATATCCAGAAGAGAAAGAGTGAGGAACGAAAGGATTAGAGAAATCATGAGGGTGGATCGAGATATAATTGAGGTGATAGAGAAAATACAACTGATTTGGTACGGACACGTGCAAAGGATGAAGGAGGAAAGGTTACCAAAAATGACTACGAAATGGCAACCAAAAGAGAGGAGGAAGACCAAGACCAGGATGGAACGATGGAATTACAAGAATCATGATAGAGTGAAAACTACCTCCGGAAGGATGGGAAAATAGAGAAGAATGGAAGAAAATATTAGGCACCGGAAGACCGAAGTAACGGTCAAGAAACGGAAGAAGAAGAAGAAGTAAAAGGACTGTTCATGTTATTGCTTCCTTGGATTTACTTTTGGACAGTGGTTTGAAACACCAAAATAAAGTTTAAGTTTGGAAACGCGACCACGTCTCCTCTGTTGCGTTATAAAACTGCTGCAGCTGTAGAGCTGAAGAGGATTAAGCTTGGAGCCATAAAACCAGAATGCAGCGGCAGGGTCGGTTAGTGGAAACAAATATGTTATTGCTATCCTTTAAAAGAAGGATCCTTTTTACAAGCGTCGTCTATTGCTGTGTGTAGTTTTGAGACGAGTACCAAACATGTTTATAACTCCCACTTCTGAAATCCCAAATCGAACGTAAATAGCCCAAAAGTACTGGTTAGAAATTTTCGTGTAATATCTCTTTCTGGGAAATTAAGAATTCTCAATAGACAACAGGATATCTTACAATAAACTGATTAAATATCTAATAATTATGGAAGGACATTTGGAAAATAAACATGGTTCTTATATTTTAATAATTATATTAATTAATAGTAATATATATACATACATATGTAATTGTTATCCAGTATTATATAATAGGCTAGTAGGATTATACATGCGGGTGTCGAAATTGATAAAACTTGTAGTTCAGTAAGCAAATAGCTTTGCATTATGTGTATTAATACCTGAAGATGGTCAATTTGGACCAAAAACGTGAAAAAAAATTATATACGATGAACAATGAGTTATTGTATAAAGGTTAAAATAATATAGTTTTGCGGGAAATGTTTAGGGGCAGGAGGTTCATGTCAACTGTGTTAGCCGTGTTGACCCGGCTGACACTTCGAAAAACGAAAAATAAAATTCTTGTGTCTTTCTTTAGTTGTTCAGTGGTTCTCCATTCACTAGAAAGCAGCAGGACTGATCAGATAAAATACATCGTTATTCAGCTATTCTGTACTAGTAATACTACCTTCAGATTTGTTCCACGAGGGGAAGATAACAAAACCTATTTCATTTTCTGCTTTGGTTGTTTCGAACAATTTCTATTATGCCATTCGTTTCATTTCAGATGTCTTGTAGTCTTCTGCTTGTATTGTAGCCCTTTGATCCAATATAATAATTTTCATTCAAAATTCCTTGTGTTAAGAATTTATTTATGGTATTGAAATTGGTGAATTTTTAATACATTTCGAAAATCAGGGCACTACGTTCTGGAAATTACTAGTGACAAACACAAATATAATGTAATATTGGTCGAACGCAGTTTAAGCTACAAAGAAGAGATGCTATATGAGTCTTTTGAGACATAAAACGTTGTCGTGTTTGAAAACAAAATAAAATAAAAAACAAAATGGTTTATACTTTCTTTGAAACTCGCATAGTAAACTGGTTTCTTGAGTTGGCGAATGCTTTGAATTGTGAACTCATGCCACGTCCAGAAGACCGACGGAGATTTTTCTGTCTGTAATGTTGACAGTGACGGACGAGTTGAGGTATCAAAGAATAGACATCAAACCTGAGGCTCCAGTCTCAGGTCCATTCAGAAATAAAATAAATAAAGTGGAAGTACATTCCTATATCTATCTAAAAACGTTAGCTATACATTGTTGCCGATCAGGTTTTAAGTATCTGCACTGAATATCGAAAAGAGAGGAACCAAGAGTCCTCAACCATCGGGACCTGGGGTGACTTTCCAATCGCGGGCGACCGTGTCTAGGCAATTTACTGTACTTCATGACAATTTATTAAAAATGTTACTTGCAACTGCAAATAGGTTCACACAGTATACCTAATTAATAATTATGAACTCAGTTTGTTGTGTTTTAGTAATTTAAATAGAATTCGATGCCCATTTCAGAAGGTAACTAGGTCTCTGTTATGCAGGGTAAACACTATTTCAAAAATATAAACAAGTCATTAATTGCTGACTATTAGGTCATGAGACAAACACTATATTAAGTCACTAAAGACTGTGCTGTACTGAATGAGAGATGAGAAGGTCATTATGAATAGGAAGGGGAGAGTTAAGAAATGCAGAAGTGGCAGTGTCCTGTTCAAAGATACATCATCCGAACCGCGAGACAACGGCGAGACAGGAGAGTGGTAACGCGACTTGTTCATGTTCGGAAGGTGAATGGTTTGAATCTCGACCGCAAGCCGTACACCCCGACTGAGGTTTCCGTGATCTGACTCCGTCCTTCAAACAGACGCCTCGTTAGTGCCTTGATATGAGCAGGCCTAACAATTGCTCTTCTTTCATTCCATATATAATTAACACTCAACCTCAGTCCTCGCAGTTGACAAAGCGTCATTAAATGACCTGTGAAACAACCACAGCCAGGCTTGCTGATCCTGAAGAGATTCGAAGCGATTACTTTTCGAACCACGATCTCTAAAAACCAACTGCATAGGAAGTGCTTAAATAAGTTACCAATACTGCTACCATTTACTTAATTGCGTCAATTTCCAATGTGGGATATTAAGTTAATTTCCCAAGAAGACAGGCTTTTTCTCCACATCAAAAAATATCAGACGTTATTATCTTTAAAGAGAAATAGTTTAGTTATCCTTATAGGAAACCATTACACATTTCACGTAATAAAAATACATTACTTCAGAACGCAGGGAACATTCAAAATGTACTGCACAAAGTTTAGCATATCCACTATACGTACTGGAGAAATTCGAACTTTCGAAATGACATAAAACAACAGGTGACGCCATAGTTCTGTACATTTTAATCTTTACGTCCTTAGATATAAGACGGAGAAACAAAACATTCTAAACTGAAGAGTAGCAAACATTCCCTGAATTCAATTTTCAATCAACGTATTCCCAAATAATTTTTTTATGTTACCGACAATCACAAGCATTTTAACTCCGCCATATTTTCTGCTATGCTGATACAGTAATATGATTCTCTTTTGCATTTTGGCGTGTTGATAAGTACTGAAAAATCTATAGGCTCACAGTCAAGGGGGAATCACACATCAGGACAGTATCTTGTCAGTCATAAAATGCAATGTAAAAATGTAATGAACTGCATTACGATGTGCAAACTGCTGCATAACAATCTTTTGTGACGACTATAAATTTTACCTCAAAAGCTGTGTAAGGAACGTGGCTTAGTATATACCTCACGTTTTAGAACTAAAAAAAATATTTTATCTTTTCAAGTTGTTAGCCTTGAGTTTGTCAGTTTCGAATAACTTATTCCAATTACAGTTTTTTAAACTAAAAACTCTTTTATGTTGCAGTGATTTATTACAAAGTCGGTATCTAAAAACTACTTTCGGAGACAAGGAGGAATGTTTTCAGTCTGGTTTCCATTTCACGGAGACTAATTCT